AGTCATTTTTGTCGCGCCCAAGTCTACCACAAAGACAATGAAGTAGACACTCTTCCAGGTTGAGTACATGAAACGAAATACATTGAAGTCTAGCACAGCTGAGGTTTATCTCGGGGCCGTAGAAAACTAATAACGCGGACAAAGATCAAAGGTGGATCCAGCGCCGGTGCGCCGGGCGTGCCCCCACCCCTGTTTGAATTTTGTGTATGTAGAACTTATATGTTCATTATACTAAAATCAAGAGGAAAAAACTCTTATTTGTACGAATTCGTCCGCTCCCGGACCCCTATCAGGGCTTTGCCCTGGACCCATTGGGGCTTCAATAAAGCCCCCAGACCCCTGCCTTCTACTGCGCCCCCTGTTATGAAATTCCTGAATCTGCCACTGAAGATAACTCTCTTCTTTTTACGAATCGTGTTCAGCTTTAATTGCAGTTGAACATTTTTTAATCACAGAGACAAAAAACTTATAAGTATAACGCAATATATAAAATGATTTCATTTGACTTGTTTTTACATTCAGCGGCGCTTGTGAATGAAAATCAGTCGACAAATATAGAAACGCTCTGAAATTAATGTATGAGACTCTTTTTTATCGAAGCAAATGCGGTATAGAAACCTTTCAATAGCGGATCCAAAAATGTAAAGAAAAGGAGAAAAAGATAAAGATAGCAAGGACACTAAAAATTTCTCATAAACTTTATGGACAAAAATGATAGTAATTTTTTTTATTAAACAAAAACATGATGATTAAAAGCACAGTATTACAAAATTCATAAAAATGGAAATCATAATCACCATTTACAGTGGGTTTTTTTAACTATTAGACTGAGTACTTTCGGTACAAATAAGTGCTTTTTGAACCCTTCTTAATCCGTCTTTATATTTGATATTTGTAGAATGGTGAACTTTGTACTTCATGGACTTGGATTTTTTGTCATTACCACAACATTAATACAAGTGCAAGCGTTGGATTGTTCGTCAAACGAACGCTGCGTATGCCACAAATTAAACGGAAAATTATGGGCAAACTGTAAACACCTCCATCTTGCAACAGCTCCGTCATTTAGCAGTGACGTCATAGGAATAAATCTGGCTGACAACATACTTTCCAGTTTTCCTACAAAACTCCCTGTAAATATCCAATATTTAGATGTCTCGAAAAATAATCTGGTTAACGTTACTGAGGACTCACTGGCAAGTTATAGTAGTATGAGAAACTTGAGCATTTCGGAAAATTTGCTTCACACGATTGAACTGGGATCCTTTAAAAAAATCTTCAAACGTAGTGCATCTTGATATTTCCGGTAATCAGGAACTTACGTTAGAGGTTTTGACCAACATATCAAGTGATTTAAGAAATTCTACTTCCATTCGAGTTTTAAATTTTGGGAAATTACAGTGTACATACGGAGTGAGTTTCATTGTTAAAAAAAATCATATGGCTGACCTAAAGCATACAAGTTTAGAGGAACTAAACTTGGACTTCTAATCGAATCAACAGCCTGGAATTGGACGTTCTCACCGAGTTACCCAAGTCACTTAAATATCTTAACCTGGCTAATAACGTACTCAGTTTTGGATTTTATCTTCTAGAATTCGGCACTTTATTCAACGTAATTTCAATCAATGCGAGTTTTCAGTCCTCCTTTCATCAAATACGACTGAAAGATTTTTTCACAAGGTGCAAAGATACACAGCCGGTATGTGCGAATTTATCGGAAAATGAACATGGGGAAATGACAGCCAAAAAGCGTTTACGTTTGCCTTTACTTACACAATTCAATGTAACAGTCTTTCTTCCACCAAACTTAAAAACCTTATACTTTCACGATAATTTGTACAAAATGACTCTTCAAAATTTTGTGCTCAAATCTGTTAAAGCACATGTGTTGTCAAAAGTTTATTTTCAAAATAACATAATATATGAACTAAACGGTCCCATTACCGGCATAGAAAGAGTCCTTTATGCGGACTTCTCTAAACATTTTTGCAGATATATTTCGCCAAGGTTTTTTCAAGATTTTGAAAATTTATCTTATCTTCATCTTTCCCATAATGCTTTAGGTGAAAATCTGGAAAATGATGTTGAGGGAGAGATTTTTCGGAATCTGTTCATGTTGAAATCTTTAAACCTCACACGAAACAGAATAGTACGACTTCCAAAGAAAATATTTCGGAATCTCAAACAACTAGAAAATCTTAACCTCAGTTTCAATTCTTTGAGTAATTTTACAGTACCTGTCAGTCACATGGATCGCCTGTCTTACCTCGACCTCTCTTATAACCAGATATCGTCCATGAGTAGAGAAACGAGGGACATTTTAGATGCAATTTCCCAAAAGAATATACTCTCTGTGAATTTAAAGGGCAACGAATTAACATGTGACTGTGAGAACTTGGATTTCGTGAAATGGATTCTAAATTCAAGGAATATTAATTTCCGACATTTTGATGATTATGTGTGTTCATTTTCAAATTCTTCAGGAATTCCATTCTCAGACATTGAAAATCTACCTCACCTGTTGGAAAAACAGTGTTCTTCGTACACTCTTATTATCGTCATTATAACGCCATTAACAATCGTTGTCTTAACCATCACCGTCAGCCGTATTCTTTACAGATATAGATGGAAACTAAGATATATGTATTATGTGGCGAGAGAAAATTATAAAGTTAATGTTCATAGGCCAGATGCCTTATCAAATGATCCATACCACTTTGATGCATTCGTATCGTATGCTGACGAAGACAGAACATTCGCCATCGACCTTGTTAAGCACTTGGAAAAGGAATACAATCTTAGTCTGTGTATACATCATCGTGATTTCATCCCAGGGTCAGGGATAGCAGAAAATATCACTGCCATTCATAATAGCAGGAAAACCTTCTGTATTATGACGTCACATTTCCTAGTTTCAACGTAGAATTTCCGAAAAGTGGAGATGAGGATGAAGTAACAGCCTTTAGATCCAAACTAGGAGATACAATCAGACAATCAGTGTAGATCTTAATAAGTATGCAGACACAGGTTTTAGTTATATAATATTGTTATATAACTGGATCTAGTAATTTACCATTGCCATGTTTAACATGTTTTATTGTATTTCTATAAAGTCAATCTTATGAGAAATGTTGAACAAAACGTAAGAAAGGGTTATGTTTATATATGTTATGTCAGTTTCTCATCGTTATCTACCACATTACGACTATAGTTTACTTGCTTGGTATGGTATGATATCACGTGTTGTACATTAGGCGCCTGTCATCTTTCTTATGAAGGAAATAATCGCGTGACATTACCAATGCAGTGTTCGTTTCACTTACTTTATTATGTATACGATTAAAAAATCAAACCTTTTTTGTAGAAAGGACTCTTAGAGACATTTTCTTTGTATTACATAAAATATATGTAAAGTAGTTCCATGGGACTTAAAAAAGGACAATTATTCATTGATTTGTTTTGACATTTTCACGTTTGTCACGTGACCATTTTGGAAGCATATATATATATATAGAGAGAGAGAGAGAGAGAGAGAGAGAGAGAGAGAGAGTTTCCTCATCATATCACTCCACTAACATCAATGACTGTACATTAATTGACAGAAACGTTTTGTGGGATTCAATAAAATCTACACTTTTTGTCAAAGGTCGTTAATTAGGTCTCATGCAGGCAAACAGATTGTTCCAGCCCATTGGTTTGCAAAACTCATTTTGCCCAAGAACACAGTCAATATTAAATTTTTAAAACATATTACTTTTGGAACGGATGGTACACATCTTTTGCTGGCTTCCATTTGTGTAAATTTCATTTACCTGCACTGTGGTTTAAACTCAGCCAATTCCGTAACTGTTGAACACCAACGAATGCAAATAAGATATAGCTAATCCCGCCCAAAATGTAACGTAAGCGGTCCAATATATCATTGACAGGTCCAATATTTCGCCTCTCCGGCTGACACCGACTTTTTTTGAATGATCAGTTACACATTAAAATGTAATACCTTTTAAGTCCCCTACCAGTGAAACCGGACGGGACTTTAGGTTTCCTCTGAGTCTGTCCGTCCGTATGTCTGTCTAGCTGTTTGTCTGTCTGTCTAGCTGTCCGTCTAGTTGTCCTTCTGTCTATCAGGCGTTCCACTTGGTTTTTCCGAATTTTTTTCTAAACGCTTGCAGATATTAAGCTGATTTTTGGAATGTGAATGTGTTTTGATGAGTTACAGATCAAGTTTGCATTTCGTTCCGCTTCATTGATTTTTGAGGGAATTTAGACTTTTTTTTCAATTTTTCGTGGTTTTCCGCAGTTTGTTTTTTTCTAAACGCTTGCAAATATTGAGCTGATTTTTGGTATGTGACTTAATACCTTTCGAGTTTTTGATCAAGTTTGCATTTCGTTTTGCTTCATTGATTTTTGAAGGAATTATGGCATTTGAAATTTTTGATGGGAACCAGGTTACACTTGTCGGTTGGTGACAGTATTGCTAATGCAATACTCTCAGAATGCTTGTTAAGTACATAGATTTATACACAAAACGATTTTGAATTTTTGAAAAAGATAAGAATGGAGAAATGTTTTTATATCAAACTCGGCTGAAGTCTCTAGATTTATCTTTCAACAGAATATATAGACTTTCAGATCTTGCTTTCCAAGGGAATACATGTTGCAGGATGGCATATATAAACCTAAGTTATAATTCTTTAAACGAATTTACTGTTCATATAAGTCACCTGAGAAATCTGTCTGTACTAGATCTATCTTTCAATCAATTAACCTTTGTCGAATCATCTGTTATTAAAGCCTTCAATTCCATAGCGAGAGATAAAGAAGTTCATGTTAGTTTGTTGGGTAACCCACTCAAGTGCTCTTGCGAAAATTTCGAATTTGTTAAGTGGCTACATTATTCAAGGACATTGAAATTTTTGACGTTAGAGAATGACACGTGTGAATTTGAACAATTTCAAGAATATACGTTGACTGAAATTGAGAATTTACTTCAGAAAATGGAGAAAAAGTGTTCTTTGTATACACTCATTATAGTAGTGTTGACATCATTGATAATCATTGCTTTAACAACAACAGTGAGTCGCATCGTATTTAGATATGGATGGAAATTTAGATATATGTACTATGTCGCTAAAGAAAAATATCAGGGTTACGGTGTTGAAGATGATGCTAACAATCAACGCTTTTACCGCTTTGATGCCTTCATCTCGTATGCTGACCAAGATGGAAAATTTGTCGCTAAACTAGTGAATAAGATTGAAAATGAACATAACTTGCGACTGTGTATTCACGATAGAGATTTTATTCCTGGTACAGGAATAATGGACAATATCACAAATGCCATTCATTGTAGTAGACGAACTGTCTGCATTATGACGTCACATTTTCTAAACTCATATTGGTGCATGTTTGAATTAAACATGGCAAGAATGGAAACCATTTATTCTCGTAACGGCGGAAACGTTTTGTTTTTAATAATCTTAGAGAAGAAGGCAATGAAAAACATCCCTTTATATCTGATGGATCTAATTAAGAATCAGTCATACTTGGAATATCTGGCTGACGATAGAGCTGAGGATTGTACTGTCTTGGTATCTAGACTTGGTGAAATATTAAAATCAAACAGATATGAATTTTAAGAAAGGAATTATTGGCTAGAAATTTATTTGTAATAGCCAGGACGGTAATTTTAGTTCTAAAAGTTATTTTGTATCAAAAAAATAAGATTGTATATAATTTATGTATATGTATATAAGCAGAAATAAGAATAAAAGGTTTCAGAAGCATTTTAGACAAAGAAGGATTAATTGCAATGTACTTCATTAGATAAGCAAAATTTTAGTCAAATATGTAAAAGTCAATCAAATTATACATGTTATACATCACATTAGCTTAAGGTAACCTGAATCTTGGTCCCCTAGCTCATCAGATTTTCCTCTCTATTCCATAGAAAAAATCCATGATGTGGCCCTGTTGAAGCCTCAGTGACAATTCGCATAAATTCATAAAAAAAGACCAGTTGCAAACAGGGCAAAGCACCCACTCGTGGAATCACAATAGCTGGAAACAGGTTCCTAGGAGGGTAAGGATCCCTTGTCAACCGGTCACACCTTGAGTGAGTCCTATTTATTGTTTAGGTAGACGGAGGAAACCATAGTCAAATTTTATATGAAAAGAATGACCTAACAATACCTATGAAACATGTCGAACAAAATACAACCCAAGAAGTTGTATTTGCCAACAAGGATATTATAACGACCGTAGAATTTGCAAAATGCTGACTATTCACTAAGATGTCGAAATGACTGTATGATCAAATTATTTGTCAGCAGCTTGCCTTGGTTTAAAAATTGATCATATTCAGATCTAAACCATGCTCCCGTGTATCAAATCAGTTCTGGAAACATAAACACTATGTACAGGTGAAAGTGGAATAGCATAAGAAAAGTTGACTGCTCAGAAGCTTTAGTCAACCACTTTGTCATACAGTTTACTTGTGTTAAATGAGGACTTAATCAACTTGAATGCTCACACAACGGGGATACCTCAATATTAATTTGACAAACATAGTTCTACTGCTATAGAGAGGATTTTTTTTTATTTCTGTTCCTATATACATGCACTATGTGAAATTCGATTCATGATTTTAGTCTTGCCCTACCCTTAGGGGCCATATTTTAGAGAGAAAAAAATCAACATCATTTGAATTGTTGCATTTCCGTATGATTTAAAGTGGCCCTGGTTATCTTGAAAAAATATGTTTGAATTTCCTGTGCATTTTCATCAAATTTTCTCACATTACTAAAATTGATAAGGTAAGGTGGGTTAGTATCATTCTTAGAGCGGGTATATGTAACCCGTTCAGTCACGTGTCCAGTGACAACATTCGCTGGTGTCAGGTTCTTACAGTTTCACATACATTCTAGAGTTGATATATACTTCAAGTTAGGACTTGCAAAATTACACGAATCAAATGAATAAGGAAAAGTTCTGAAAGATATCAAAAATATCTTTTTTTTTAAACAGTAAGGTTGTATTTCTCTCTCTCGGATCGAAAATTTAATAATGTCCCTTCAAGGTTTTCTGTGGATCATGTTCTTGATTTTGGGACTAGCTGTCATTGAACAACATGATTTTTCGGTGCATGAGTTCTGGGACAATTTCTTTTTTTTCTTTCTTTTTTTTTTTTTTTTTTTTTGGTTTTGTTTTATTTGTTTTTGTTTTTGTTTGTTTTTTTTTTTTTTGTTTTTTTTTTTTGTTTTTTTTTTGTTTTTTTTTTTTAAATAAGAAAGAGCAATGTTCTTTCTGGTGAAATTTGATCTATATTGTGGGTATACACAAAAAGTACACATGCTATGATGTATTCTAATATATGTGCTTAATGTGAATTTGACAGAAAAAAAAAAAAAACTCACAATCTAGATATTTTTATAATTAATTTATAGCTATATATAGTGAAGTCTCAATATCTCGATTGTGAATGGTCTGAGAGAATATTTCAAGAAATTGTATTCATGATAATGTAGGTACAGTGGACAAAGCTAGAATGCCGGGCATACAATAAATAATCAATATATATGATGAAATTCAATTTCTTTTTTAAAGAACCATGTCTTTAAGTTTACTAGAAATTATTTGTAAGCAAACCCACTGACTTTCATGAAGTGGTGTTCTTGAATCGCTCTGTGCGGCGTTTGGACAACAGCAGTTTTTCTTTACCCATACTCTCATCTCCAATTAAGAAAACAGACTAAGTATGATTTTATAAAACTTGTTTCCGAATCGTTTTAGCTTATCCTTTACTACTTGACTGTATTTTCTTCTTGTTATTGTCAAATAAAATATGATTTAAGCTAATCTCCAACAGATGAATGTAGAATAGCAATATTTTTCTCTATCTGATATGTTTGACTCGGAGCAAAGATTCCAACTTCTTACAAAATGTGTTTGAACTCTCGGAGTGACAGAGATAATTTCTCAGAAAAGAAAATGTACACTGACCATTTTCGCGGGGATGTTAAGGCTACACCCAGATATTCTAATTGGTCAATACAATGTGACGTCATAGTACGCTATATGACTTGAACTTAAAAAAGATTTCTTAATATGTATATTTAAAGATTCAAGTCCTAGAAATAAATGGAAACATGCAAAACATAATATGCACTTAATATTGGATAGTAAAGGCAAGGAAGCAATTGTCAGGGGGTTAATAACCCATGACGTCATACTTGTTGATCAACTATTTTCCGAGTGAAAGTATTTTTTGTCGATATCAAAAGCTTGCGTTCTATAGTACGTGGAAAGAGCTGCTAAAATCGTCAAGTTAACATGAATTGATGAAAATTCATCGATCGTATGTACGGTATAGCGCTCGCTCCGTGATCGTGTTCGAATCATGGCCGCGACTGACCTAAGTCGATAAAAAATAGGGAATAACTGTTCCTTCGCCAAGCGCTCGGCGCTTTGAAGTGAAAGTTGCGGGTTATTCGGATGAGACCTTAAAAACCAAGGCCCCGTGTCAGGCTAGGCGTTGGCACGATAAAGTACCCTCAGTGCTTAATGACCCCGAGTGCCGAGTAAAGGTGTAAATTTGAAGCCCTTCACCGATATATGGTGAGGTCTCTATATGAGTGAAAAATTCTTTAATGGGACGCAAAACAACACAATCAATCAATTGATCGTATGTACCAGATGTAAACATCTTGGTAAGGTTTCATCCGAAAGTGTGGATTAATTATTTTTTTTGGCTGAAGAGTGTGATTCTAACTGCACTTTTCACGGCCCAATGATGTTTTTACGTATTTTTTTTTTTTTTCAAAAACAGAAATGAACTATCCCCGGGATATTTTTGAACTATTCACTTTTCATTAAGGCATATTTTTCTATTTATAGACATCACATAATGACCTCGTAGTGGAGTGCTTCTTTTAGTCCAATACTCATTGACGTCTATGCAGTAGTTAACGGTAGTAGATTTATTATTCGTGGTTTTTCTGATTTATCAATGCTACTTTTTACCAAAAAGTGTGAGTTTGCCGATTAATGCCCTGGGTGCTGCCTTCACGTACCTTCGTTGGATCAATATTTATAAAAATCAAAGAATTTCTCAAACATGTACCTCAAACTCTATTTTTTGCTTACTCGTGGGAAATTTTCAAAGTTTAGATAAAGCTATATTCATTTTTTTATTCTAGAATCAGACATTTATTCCACGTGAGTGAGCTTTTTAAAACATTTTTTTAAATTTTCATGCATTGTTGTTAAATAAAACTTTTCACCATTCATTTCTTGTAATTTATTCTATTTTTAAGAAGATAATAAACATATCTAATCAATTAGTTGACAGATTATTTCGAAACTTATATTTACTTACGGGTGTTTAGATCTACTCAGATTTAAACACAAAGCTTACTAAATCTGATAGATCTGTGAGAATGAGATGCTCACAGAAATATCGCAGAATTATTAATGGTCCCTAACTTGCATTGCAGGTACTGTTAAGATGTACCAGATAGATTGTAGCCTAGTATACATATATGCATAATTTTTTTTTTAAACAGTTTATTTTTTGTAAATCTATTTTAGAATCACATGAATTAATAATTAATTAAAATAACACAATATATCCAACGCTGTATTGAATTTAGTTTAGTCACCTGATTTAACAGTCATGTGATATAAGTACATCTAGATCGATTTGTACTGCATTCAGGTCATACTCTTAAATCACATATTTTCGTGGGGTCAAATTTTCATGGTCTGAGGAAAAAAAAGTGTTTTAGGAGATTTAATTCAAAGAATTACAAGAAACAAGAGATTTAGAATTAAGAGAATATCAATATAATGCCAAATTGCGGGGGTCAAGTTTTCACTGCTTTTCGAGCATAGCATTTAGCAGGACAACATTTTCTTATGAATTGATAAATTATCACAGATCTTCTGATGGAAGGAAAATTTTCATAAATATTAAAATCAATAATATTACTTTTTCAATGGCAAATATTTATGCACTAAATAATATATCTGATATAAGGTCTTTTCACACCAAAACAAAGTCTTGGCTAAGAAGAAATGCTTAAAGTCTAAAAAAAAAAAAAAAAAAAAAAAACTAATTGTAGGTTGAGATCTAAATTGAAAAGACAACTATAATCAGACTACTGATTCAAGCAAAACAAATTAAAATCGTTAATTAAACAATTCAAACGTATAGATGGCTGGAAAAAAATGCATGAAAATAAACCTGGTCTTACTTGGTGCTAATGCATACAATACTCCAAATAGCAGAATAGACTATATTGTATTTGCAGAATTTTTTTTTTATTATCTGTGGATCCTTTTTCGTTTCAGAGTAATTATCACTAAAATGAGTGATCATCTAAGGCTAAAAACAGATTTTTCATTCTTCAGAAAAACAAGAGAGGTTGTGGAAATTGAAAAATGAATACTTCTTTTTCAGTAAATGAGGATTTCTGTGAGCAACTAAAAGATTTTCGTTATCTCCACATATTTCATTTAAAAAAAAAAAAAAAAAAAAAAAAAAAAAAAAAAAAAAACACCTGAGCTTAGAGATGTTAAATGTCCACAAGAAAGATGGGAAATGGTTAAACTTATTATTAAAGAGTAATCTATAACCTTC